GAATTTATTGCTAACAATGAACAGACACCTACTGCAGAAGAATCCTAAGCCCAACAACTACATAGTATATATTTATATTATTAAGAAATATAAGTAAAAGCCATTTATTTCAACAATTGGCAAAAAAAAACAGAACCCATATACATATATAATATTATTTTTAAATCCGACAGAAATACATCTCTAAAATGGTGCCACCACTGACATTCGTAATGGTGGCACCAAAGTTAAATGTGGGCAATTGTGATCCGAGTGTCACAAAGGCCACACATTGTGGGATCAGTCCCACGTAAAAGAAAATGATGAGTAAAAAATTGTGACCAATGCATAGCCTACACAAGACAACTTCCTCTTGTCAATCCTTATGGAAACTAGATGGCCAAAAAATAACAGTAGGTTTGATCTGGAAAAGTTTGTTATAAAGTTGCTCACTGGTGCAAAGTCGGGCTTTGATCCCAGAACCATAGTCGATATACGGGACAGGCAAGGCTGTGACAGGAATCAAAACAGACAGACTTAGAAATGGTGTCAGCAAGCTTATTCCCACAAATACCAACATGGTCAGTAATCCAGAAAAACTGGATAGACAAAATACAGGGAAAAGTGGGCCAGTCCTTTATGAATTGCAATGAGAACTTACATTAAGTGATTCCAGAGCCAATAGGGAGCTAAGAGAGTCCATGTAAATAATACAGTTAGTGTACTGCTTAGCTTCTATGTGAAGCAGGGCAAGAGAAATGACATACAACTCAGCAGTGAACTCAGAAACTGTAGATGGGATCCTGTGAGCAACCACTGAGCCACAAGAAACCATGACAGAGCCCACAGTCACCATTTGTAAAAAGAAGAATGGTTCAAAAGATGTTCAGCAAAGAGAAAACGGTACTTCCAATCAAGAGTATTCGCCTTCCTCAGATGACTGAAAAAAAAGTCACAGGTAGGGATGGTAAGGAGCCATGGCAAGATGGGCTTATCATTGGACTCAACAACATCATTCAATGACAGATTTAATTCAGCCAGTTGTGCCTGAATATGAAGGCCAAAAGTAGGAATGGCAGACTGTCTATTCTTAAGCTTGGTAGCATTAATGTAAAGAAAATTGCAAACAGTGGAGGTGAAGGGGTAGTTCATGGGACTCAGTGCACAGACTCTAGATTGGTGAAGTACAGAAAGCCCCGATTAACAGCCGAAGCCCCAAATGGTGAACAGGGTCCAACATATTATAGGCAGAGGGCCTAGCAGAACCATAAACCATAGTTCAGCTTGGAACGTATGAAAGCAGATAGATCTTCAACACAGAACATCAATCCGCTCCCCAAGAGGCGGAAGAGAGTACACGGAGGATGTTCAGTGCCTTTGTACACATGACATGAATCTGCTTGATGTGAGAAATAAAAGTAACCTTACAGTCAAAGATAAGCCTCAAGAACTTTGCCTCAGGAACCATGGGAAGTACAACAACACCGAGACAGAGCTCAGGATTGGGCTGTAAACCCCATTGGTGGTAAAAATGAATGCAAATGGTTTTAAGGAAGAAAAGGTAAAACTGCTTGCTGTGGTCCACTTCAACAAGCGAGTAAGGGCAGTCTGAAGCTGCTGCGCAATAAACCTCATGTTTGACAACCAACAAGAAATGTGAAAGTCATTGACATAGATACCATTTATAACAGTAAGATGAAGTTGTTTAGTGATAGCACTGATCTTGATACTGATAAAGGGTGACACTCAAGACGCAACCTTGAGGGACCCCAAGTTCCTGTGTGAAAGAACGGGAAAATATCAAACCCACATGAACTTGGAATTGCCCGTCAAGTAAAAAGTTGCAAACAAAAATGGGTAAGTGGTCATGCAACCAATATGAATGGAGGTCCCACAAAATGTCAAACCTCCATGTAGTGTCATAATCCTTCTCAAGATCAAAGACAGAAACAAGATGTTCCCTCTTGAGGAAGATTTTCCTGATCGACGTTTTAAGATGAATCAGGTTGTCCACAGTGGACAACTAAAACCACATTGTGTGGATGAATAGAGGTTGTTTGATTCAAGGAATCAAACAAGACATGCCTTAACCATCCTCTCCAAGACCTTACAGAAACAGTGAGTTAAAGCAATTGGACAATAATTAGAAGGAATCTTGGAATCCTTCTCAGGCTTTGAGAAAGAAAGAACAATAGCTCTGTGCCAAGCATCTAGAAAAAACATTCTCCTGCCAGATCCAGTTAAAAACAACCAGAAGAAGAGTGAGAGATGGTGCAGCATCTTATAGTGAAAGTCATCTGGTCCAACTGATGTACTACTAGATCGATGATGAGCAAGTTTAAGTTCTACCAGAGTAAATGGGCGATTATAATCATAGAGACAATCAGCCTGAAATGAAAGGGGTGATCGCTCAGCCCAAGACTTGATGGCCAAGAAGGTGGGAGAAGAGACGGAAGTGCTGGAAAGATGAGCAAAGCTCTCCCAAGAGTATAGGCAATACTCTGTACATCACACCATTGGAGAGCAAGATGGAATGGGAAGTATACTTCCCATTGACCTTCTAAATTTTGTCCCAGACAAGTTTGGAACTGATGTTAGTGGTGAACTTAATCCAACATTCCTTCTGGCTTTGACATTTGACCTGCCAAGCATGGGCATGGGCCCACTGGAAAGCAATGCAGTTGCAAAAGGAATCCCAGGTCTGTTTCTGAGCCTTCCATGCCTGCTGGCAGGCAGAAGGCCACCATAGACGAAGATACCGTGGAAAATGTGTCAAGGTTTTGGGGATAGAACAAACAGGTGCCTGAATTATACAATCAGTTACTGCCTCCACCTAGTCCTCAATACATGGAAGACTAATGAGGGTAGGATCTAGTTCCAAGAGAGTGGTAAAGGAGAGCCAGTCAACCTGCTCCAACTTCCACTGTGGCACTCGGATAGGGTGGCATCGACCATGGTCAATGTCCCTCAAAAAGATGGGAAAGTGATCATTGCCTTTTGGGTCACTGTCAACCCTCCAATAACAATGAGGAAAAAGTGAAGGGGAACAGATAGATAGACCAATAGCAGTAAAAGACTGACTAGGTGCATGAATATAGGTAAAAGAACCAGTATTGAAGAGAGAAAGGTTGTGATCTGA